TGATGGAGACGTTACTGGGCCTGCTCGAGCAAATCGATGAACAACGGGAGGGCCGTGACCGTGACCGTGACCACAGCCTAGATAAAAGCTGAGCATCTTCAATGAATTTGCAGTACTATTTAAAAAAACAGCAAGAAATTTTCCAAAGTACTTCTTGGTTTGCTGTTAAGTTTCTCACCTAAAAAAAAAATCTCAACTCAGGACCAGAGAGATAGTACAGCAGGGAGGGTGCTTACCTTCACTTGGACAACCCAGATTTGATCCCTGGCACTACATATAGTCCCCTGAGCCCTGCCAAGGGTGACCCATGAGAGCAAAACCAGGAATAAGCCCTGAGCACAGCTGAGTGTGGCCCTCAAATAAAAGTTATAAGGGGGATGTATTGGCAAACAAATAAGTAATTTTCTACTTTGAAATGGTGCTGTATTGTGGAGAAAACCCATGAAAAGGAGAATATAGAAAGACGGAAATGTGATCTTATGCATGGATACTTTTTTTAGGAAGTTTCAATGAACGGTGAGAAACTGAGTCTATGAAAGTATTTAGGGAAGGGGATTTTCCAAGAAAAGAAAGATCAAGTGCAGGGGCTGGTGAGATAGCACAGCAGGTAGGGAGTTTGCCTTGCACACGGATGACCCAGGTTCGATTCCCAGCATCCCATATGGTCCCCTGAGCACCGCCAGGAGTAACTCCCGAGTGCAGAGCCAGGAGTAACCCCTGTGCATCACCAGGTGTGACCCAAAAAAGCAAAAAAAAAAAAAAGATCAAGTGCAAAGGTAACTAAGCAGTAACTAAATTTTTCTGGACAAAATTGTGGGTTGGGACAAACCAAAAAAAAAAAAAGACCCCAGAATTACAGCCCTTACTCTGTCATTTACAACGCAGGAACCTTTAAGAAGAGAAGATGAAAAGTGCCAGCAATAGAGGCAGGCTAGGAGCGAGGTGGCAGGAGGAATATGGGGGATATTGGTGGTGGGAGATGTACACTCGTGGAGGAATGGGTTTTGGAACACTGTATGACTGAAACCCCAAAAGCTTTGTAACTATCTCACGGTTAAAGGAGGAGGAGGAGTAGGAGGAGGAGGAGGAGGACTGAGAAGACAAATAATCTATAACAATTAACGATACATTACTTCTAGTTTGTTAGAACACTGCTTTATATTTATTTTTAAAGATGGCAATAACAGGGCCGGAGCAATAGCATAGAGGGTAGGGTATTTGCCTTGCACAGAGTCGACCTGGGTTCAATTCGCGGCATCCCATATGGTTCCCCAAGCACCGCCAGGAATAATTCCTGAGTGCAGAGTCAGGAATAACCCCTGAGCATCCGCTGGGTGTGACCCAAAAGCAAAAATAAATAAATAACATGGCAATTTTAACATATAAAATGTTAATATTGAACAATTAAATGCACTGAAAATTTCTTTTTTCTTGTATCTTTTAAAGCAACCTACAGGACTACCAATAGCATAGTTTTAACTAATAAATAATGAGTTGAATACTGGAAAAAAAAAACCCCAACAACTATGTCATTTCTTCCTCAAGAGGTAAGATCATGTTACGAACCTCACACCATTATTTACAGGGAAAGGATGATGATGAAGGATGCACCTGTAATCACCAAGAGTGTATCCTGAGAGCTATGAGAAAGCCCTCAGCCTCAAACGATGACCAAATTTGGTTCTTTGTCAAATGCATCTGCCGGGACACTGCAAGGTTTTAACAACTGAACTGAAGCTAGGAAATGAACAGCTGAGAATAGGCAAACCAGAAACTCCTCGAGACAGTTGTTAAGATCCTTAAGATCGTCGTTACCGTCCCAGCTAAAAGCGAGGTGGAGGGGTTGGGTGGGGGGGGTGGGGGGGGGGTGGGAGGTGGGCGTGTTTCTGCTGCATTTTTCAGCAGAGGAATCCCTGGGAGCACTCTGTTCTGTCGGCCAGTATCTGTATAACTGCAAAATCCAACACGGGATTCCTTTCAGGAACGGTTTAACCTCACTGCCAAGCAAAGCCCTTTCCTTCTCTGAAGCCCTTTCTGCGCGTGCAGATCCTGCTTTTCAAAAGACCTGGTGTTTCACTAATCACAGATCAGATCACAGATGATCCTGTTATTCGTCGATTGCCTCGAGCAGGCCCCAGTAACGTCTCCTTCATCCTAGCCCTGAGATTATATTCAAGGCTCTTTAGGAGAATGAGACCCATCATTGTTACTGGTATTTGGCATATTTGGTACGCCATTTGGGGAGTTTGCCAGACTCTGCCGTGTGGGCAGGCTACATTCGGTAGCCTGCCAGTTTGTCCAAAGTAGGAATGAGACAATAAGATGTCATTAAAAAAAGTTCTGATAAGATGTTCCGGGATCTGGATTTTATAATCTCTGAGTCTTGGCCGCTGATGGGATTACACGGCGCCAGGGGGCCAGTTGGTGGGTGTGACCCCCGCCTACTGGAATCTGGAGGATCTGGGTGGAGGATGCTTCACTAATAAAAATCTAAAAAAGAAAAAAAGTTTTAAGTAAAAAGTGACAGAGTGAATCCTCTAGGTAGAAACAAGTTTTTATGCATACTATTCCATGCACCTTTGTTATCTTTTAAAACTTTCGTCGTTCATAAACGCAATCAATAAAAAGTTACTTAATTAAAAAAAAAGAAAAAGAAAGACCCAGAGACTGAACTCCGGGCGCTCGCATTTTGCACCCGGGGTGCTGAGGACGCGGAGCTGCAGCAGCCCGGAGAGCGTCACCAGCGCGGGAAGCGCCTCCGCCCCGGCTCGCCGCCGGGCGTGGCGTGATGACGTCACCCGCCCGCGCCAAGATGGCGGCGCGGCCCCGCCCAGGCCGGTCGGCGAGGCGCGCGGACGCGGAAGCGGAGGCCGCGGCCCGGAAGCGCCCCGGGAGGCGCTCGGTGAGTGCAGCCCCGCGGCCGCGCGGCCGGTCGCTCGGCGGGGCCCGGCACCCCGGGGTGCCGGCGGGGGCGAGGCGAGGCGGCGCGGAGCCCAGTCCTCGGGGCGGCGTGCGGGCGGGTCTCGGGGGCTCGGGCGGAGGAGGCCGCGGACGGCGGCGCCGGGGGGAGAAGCGGCCGGGCAGCCCCGCCCTCCGCGAGCCGCCGCGTCGCCTGCGATCCGGGCCGGGACGGGGACGCCCGAGGGCGCCCTGGCTGCGACCGGACCGACGCCGGGGGCCGCCGGGGGGCGCGGGGCGGGGCGGGGGCGGGGGGCGTGGCCGCTGTCCGCGGTGCTGAAGGCAGGACGGCCCGGAGGAGGACGCGCCCGTGTGTGTGTGTGTGTGTGAGAGAGAGAGAGAGAGAGAGAGAGAGAGAGACAGACAGACAGACAGACAGAATGGATGTTCTGAGCCCTCCCCAGTGTGTGTGAGACGCCCAAGTCTCGGAAACTTAGATTGTCTAACCACTCTCGTGTGTGTGTGTGTGTGTGTGTGTGTGTGTGTGTCCACGGTGCTGAAGACAGGACAGCCTGGAGGAGGAACGCCCGGAGCTCCTGTGTGTGTGTGTGTGTGTGTGTGTGTGTGTGTGTGTGTGTGTCAGACAGACAGACAGAATGGATGTTCTGAGCCCTCTCCAGTGTGTGTGAGACGCCCAAGTCTCAGGAAGTTAGATTGTCTGACCACGCTCGCGTGTGTGTGTGTGTGTGTGTGTGCCCTGAGTCGTGCACTCCCTCCTGTGTGTGTGACAGACTCCCGAGTCTCAGAAACTTAGAGTGTCTAACCACTCTCGTGTGTTAGAGAGAGAGAGAGAGAGGAAGAGAGGAGAGGAGAGGAGAGAGAGAGAGAGAATGTTCTGAGCCCTGCACACTCTCCTGTGTGTGTGAGAGACTCCCGAGTCTCGGAAAGTTAGATTGTCTAGCCACTCTCGTGTGTGTGTGTGTGTGTGTGTGTGTTGAGTCGTGCACTCCCTCCTATGTGTGTGAGACTCCTGAGTCTGGAGTAGGAACACTCTTCACGCCCATATGTGTGTGTGTGTGTGTGTGTGAGAGAGAGAGAGAGACAGACAGACAGACAGACAGACAGAATGGATGTTCTGAGCCCTCCCCAGTGTGTGTGAGACGCCCAAGTCTCGGAAACTTAGATTGTCTACCCACTCCCGTGTGTGTGTGTGTGTGTGTGTGCGCGCGCGCGCGCCCTGAGTCGTGCACTCCCTCCTGTGTGTGTGAGAGACTCCCAAGTCTCAGGGAGTTAGATTGTCTAGCCACTCTCGCGCGCACACATGTGCGTGTGTGTGTGTGTACGTGTGTGTGTGTTCAGTCGTGCACTCCCTCCTATGGTGTGAGGCTCCTGAGTCTGGAGTAGGAACACTCTTCATGCCTGTGTGTGTGTGTGTTTGTGAGTGTGTGTGTGCATGTCCTGAGACCTTCACTCCCTCCTGTGTGTGAGACTCCTGAGTCTGGAGTAGGGAAGCCCTACAAGCCCTCGTGTGTGTGTGTGTGTGTGCGCGCGTGTCCATGTCCGTTCTGAGCCCTGCACTCCCTCCTGTGTGTGAGACTCCTGAGTCTGGAGTAGGAACACTCTTCACGCCCGTGTGTGTGTGTGTGTGTGTGTGTGTGTGTATGTATGTCCTGAGACCTTCACTCCCTCCTGTGTGTGAGACTCCTGAGTCTGGAGTAGGAAAGCCCTACAAGCCCGTGTGTGTGTGTGTGTGTGTGTGTGTGTGTGTGTGTGTGTTTTGAAAGGAAGCATTCTTTTATCAATCAGCACTGACCTCTCAGAGGATCAGCAGTCATTAATAAATTTCACAAAATTTAGGAAAGCCACTGCTTCATTCCAGCAAGGAATTTCACTCCTGTCTTTTTCCCCCCCTGGGGCAGGCACCTTCAGTACCTTCATCAGACCAGATGATTTGCCTTCAGGCTCACAGCATTCAGAGCAGTTCTCTATGACCCCTGTCATCCTTGGCCCAAGCAGCGTCCATCCAGGTGAACTTGTTCATGATGTAAAGTGTAGCACCAGAATGTATTCTCCCCATCTGGAGAGATGGTACAGCAGAGAGGGTGCCTTCCATGCACATAGCTGACCCGGTTCGCTCCCTAACATCCCATATGATTCCCTGAGTTCTACCAGCAAAAGTTCTGAGTGCAGTCAGGAGTAGCCCCTGAGCATCATCGGGTGTGGCCCAAGAACCCAAAAGCAAAAACAGAAGAACGTGCATTTTCCTAAACTTCCTCCATCAAAGTCTAGAGCAGCCAAGGTAAGGCAAGAGGGATCCAGCTGTGCTTTCCCCGAGTTAACATGAAACATGTTAACTGTTTGGAAGAAACATGTAAAACTGAGCAGTCTTCTAATAAAGACCATGAGTCTCAATCAGTTCTCGTAGCTGTTTGCTTTTCTGTGTGTGTGTACACATGCATGTGCATTGTTGTTCCTGTGTTGACTTTTATAGAGTGTTTTTTTCTTTCTATTGATTCAATAAAATCTTAATACCAACTGCTTGTTTGTTTTAAAATTCTGACTAAAGTTAGACACTGGGGGAGGAGGGAGTAAAAAGAGGGGAGAATGTGAAATATATGGAGTTTACATGGTTCCTGGTATTCTTGGATCCATCTGGTATGAGAAAAACTGTGCATTATGGGAAAATTGCTCTTAAGTGCATTCTTTCAATTTTCTATGTTATTACAGCTCAAGGGTTTTTTGTTTGGGGGCCACACCTGACAATGCTCAGGGATTACTCTTGGCTCTGCACTCAGAAGTTACTCCTAGAGGTGCTGAGGGACCATAAAGGGGGCCAGGGATCAAACCTAGGACAGCTACTTTCAAGGCAAGTGCACAACATACTGTACTCTAGCCCCTAATACAGCCCAAGTATTATTTTTTTCTTCTGGGAGAATCAGTTGGTTGAAGCACTAAAACTAATCAAAAATAAAGCTGAGGGTAGGTGTAATGTTAAGTGTTTGTTACTATTTAGCAGAAAGTTTATAAGGAAGCTTTGATTAGGATGACTTCCTTGATTATTCAAGAAATTTGCCTTTCTAAGAGACATGAAGAAATATAAGTTTGCTTTTAAAATGCTGGTGTTTGTAAATTGTACTGACTTTATTCGTAGAATATTGGGTGCACAGAAAGACTTAAACTCTAAAGTAGGGACAAGAGCATTTGTATTGGCAGTAAGGCCTAAGTCGTACTGAAGGCTGATCCACATTTGATGTCCAGCAATGCATACAGCTCCCTGAGCTCAAAGCCAGCAGTAAACCCTGAGCTCATCAGCTGGGCGTGGCCCAGAAACATTTAAATGTTTTGCACTTGAAAGATTTGAGAGGTAGGGAATGTCACTGTCTAGTAAGAAGAACAAAGTTTAAAAGGTATTATTCTGTTCTCTGTTACTTTAGTTACTAATATCTTGATAAATCCATTTTTCCTTTCATCTTCCTAGGCTTCACACTGGCTCTTACCCAGGGCTTATTTCAACTGGTCACAGGCCTGTACGTGATTTAATGCTTTAATGTTGCCATCTTGAAATCCATAATTTTTAACAAGAGGCCCCATATTTTCTTTTTCCCCTGGACCTGGCAAACAGTATAACCAAAATTGCACTTATATTTAGTAGTGATCTTCTCCTCCTGTCTTTTCCTCTTGTTGTGGCCCCTTGTTTTCCTTGTCTTCAGCAACCAGGTCTTATTCCTTGGCCTTCTGCGATACTTTCCTAACCAAAAATTAACCACTCAAAGATCTAGAATTTTAATTATATCCTCAAGAAGAGCCAGGTGAAACAGTGTTTGAAAATCTCCCTATTAAAGAAATAGTTAGATGGCTATGAATACTATTTTTGATTTTTTTTTTAACCATTTAATATTTTCTTATCACTTGAAAGAACCAAAAACCTAGAAGATCAGCACTGGGCCAATTAGAAACTTCTAAGGCATTTTATAAACAAAAATTTAGTTTGATAATTACAACTTCTTACATTTTTCCTCAATTACTGTTTTACCTTGTGGTGAGTATGCATACATACACAGAGCCTCTCACTCATATATGGAACCATCATCTTTCTCTTGGAAAAAGAGGGAAAAAATATTTTTATTGCTTCTTCCAACATATGGAAGTTTAGCACAATTCTAAATGTGTAACATGAGATTCAGGGGTATTGAAGTGTTAAGCAGAAGGTTTCGTATAGCAAGTTATATCAATGTATGTGTCTGGGGAGGTATATATAAGTATGTGTACAAAGGGATATGTATTACAGTTTGCATTTTCACCAAAAAATTAAAACATACTTTCAACACTCTAAAATAATTTCAAAAGACCAAAGAAGCTGAAAAAACAGAAGCATGTACTTATGGTATGTATGTTAATGAAAATAAAAATAATTTTGCCCACTTGAACATGTACCGAACTATGTTTTTGACCATAGCGATTGGGTTTCAAAATAGGTTGAACTGAAGTGGGTTGTAATTAAAAACTCAAGTGTTTTTTTTTTTTTAATGTTGGTCAAACCCAAATGGTTTTCATACTTTATATAATCTTGATCATTTTTTGTCTCAGAATATCCCAAAGATTAATGCTACTTCAACAAATGGAGAATAAATTTGAAGATCAAAATAAGGAAAAGACATCTCAGGTGAAAGCAGCTGAGACTGCTTTTGAAAGGAACCTCAACCTTTTAAAGGTAAGTTTCCATAATTCGAGTATGTCGATTTCCCCACCTTTCAAAAAGACATTAGTAATTTCTTTTTTTTCTGAGGCATATTATAATTTATAAACTCATTAGGTGGACAAGTACCAGATAAAAGTCTTTTTAAAAAAATCTTGTTTTATAAGAATTGACTACAGTTAGTTTCTTTTTTTCTTTTTCTAGTGGTACTAATGAGCATACCCAGGGGCTGTATCTATATATTCTACCACTGAGCTACATCCTTGGATTCAGCCTTTATTTTTTAATGAAAAAAATATCTTGAATTTTGCTTACAATAAATGTTTTAAGTCTATGAGAAAAATCAGTAAGTACAGAAGGAATTTTAAGTTTTATTTTTGTACAAGAAGAAATGTAAGATGCAGCTTTCCATCTTTTATCTTTTTTTATAAGACTTAAAACACCGTGAAGTACCTATCATGCATTTAGATCCAATACAAAACTATTTAATATCATAAAAAAACAAGATAATTGAATTTTGCCCTATTGGTATCACAGTCAACACATAAAATCAATATCCTAGATAACAAATTTCCTACATTTCTTTTGATGATGATGGAGGAGGTGGTCAAAGTGTGCAACTGCGCAGGGCCTCACCATTTGGCCAATGTGCCCATTTGTAGTAAAATCATATGTGCAACGTTTTTGGCTGCTTGCTGTACTTTGCTTCCAGAATTGTATGGCTTCATCCATAATTAAAACCCTAAAGTTTGCTTCCATTGAAGCTTCCAAGAGATCCTATGACTAAAACATTTGGTAGTAAGGCTATATTATTTAAGTTATAAAGCAGTGTTTTCAGTTTTTTATTGTTAAATATTTTCATCGATAGGCATGATATAGTTATCTTCTATCCTCACTAGAGGATAAAGGAAGAGGAAAATTCAGTTATCTTCTCAGTTTCTGGCAGTTTGATCCACAGTAATTTAAGTCACAGCCATAGTGCTACCAAAGCATTCTATATTGCCATATGTCTTACTTGCCCAATGGTGTTCGCAATATTTATTTTTAAGTGGAAATACATAGGATAATCTGAAATTTGCTATGAAAAGTCATAAAAACTAAATTAGAAGATTCAACTTCAGGTAATACGCTCTTTGATTTTCAGACATAACCGTTTCAATGGGCAAACAACTGATGTGCACCTAAAGAGCTCTAACTATTGAGTTAGTTCTGGGCAGAAAATGAGGTCAACAAAATAAGTGTAAGTTTGAGTTCAAGAAACTTACAGACTTAGTCAACAATATAGGTTGTTGCACAAATAAAAAGCTTTGTATGATCAAATATTAAATTACCCAAACTATTCAGTAATTGTGAAAAAAGCACTATTGAAGGGCAGAATAGTCTGGATTTACAAAGAAGATTTAAAAAGGAAGTGAATCTGGAGCTGGGGTTGAATAGACAGAAAGCAAGGCATTCTGTTCAACTGTTATGGAAGATCAAGACCAGAAGAATGAAATAGTTCTATAAATGTTCATGAATACTAGCACTAACTTGCTTGGCAAATTATAGGAAAGAAGGTTGAATATATATATATATGTATATGTATATATGTATATATATATATGTATCTGTCTGTCTGTCCTCCCGTTGTTCATTGATTTGCTCGAGTGGGCCCAGTAATGGCTCCACTTTGAGACTTGTTGTTACTGTGTTTGGCATATTGAATACGTCACGGGTAGCTTGCCAGGCTTTGCCGTGCGGTCAAGATACTCTCAGTAGCTTGCCAGGCTCTCAGAGAGGGGCAGAGGAATCGAACCTGTCTCGGCCAGGCTGGCTGCGCGCAAGGCAAATGTCCTACCACTGTGCTATTGCTCCAGCCCATATATATATGTATATACATGTATGTATACACACACACATATATATTGTAAGACCAACTGATTATGTAGAGATTAGTATAGTACTGATAGTTTGTAAGCAAAACAAAAATAGAGACTTAGAACAAATATGAGTAGATATATAAGATCTATACACTTAGTATTGAATGCATGGTAAATATTAGAGAATGTAGGCAAGTAAGATAGTGGAAAAATCATCATCATATCTAGAAAATAATCAAACTAGTTTCATAGTCTTGAGAAATCACCTTGATGTGTTTCTCCTTTTACTATCAAAGTAATACATTCTCAATGCAAACACTTGAAAGAGAAAAAATGATAAAATTATATCATCCCCCACCAAAAAATAAATATATTTTTGAATATTTCCTTTCAGTCTTTTAATAAACATTGAGCATTTATTGCATACAGATTATTATTAGAGATGAGGGCTCTTTACTATCCTTCTACATACATTGAATAGTTGAATGTGTAATTTTTATCTTGTTCTCTTTAATATCACAGCGGTAGGGTGTTTGCCTTGCGCGCAGCCAGCCTGGCCGAGCCGGGTTCGATTCCTCCACCCCTCCCGGAGAGCCTGGCAAGCTACTGAGAGTATCTGGCCTGCATGGCAAAGCCTGGCAAGCTCCCCATGACGTATTCGATATGCCAAACACAGTAACAAGTCTCACAATGTTACTGGGCCCGCTTGAGCAAATCAATGAACAACGGGAGGACCGTGACCGTGACCTTGACAGTCAATAGAGCTCTGATCTAATAGTGCTAAAGGGGAAGTAGGGGACTGGGGGGAATCTTAAGATGATAGTGAAGGGAACCGGCATTTGTGGTGGGCTTGGTACAGCGGCATTGTGAGTACCAGAAAATGCTTGCCCGACTGCTGAAAAATAAAGAACTCTTTAAAATTAATTAAAGTAAAACAAACGGTTCCTTTAAAACTTGGAAGCATTCCCATAAAAACAAAAACAAGATAATGATGACCTCTTATCATCTGTTGTTTAGACATTCTGACCAATATAATATAAACTAAAAGGGAAACTAAAAGGGAATAATCTTTGGCTTTTGGAAAGGAAGATAACAGTATGATTTTTAAATCATATGGTTAAATACTTAGAAACAATTGTAAAAAAGTTTAAAACCAGTAAAAAAAAAAGTGGGGGTGGCTGGAGAGATGGCACAGAGGGTAGGGCATTTGCCTTGAACGTGGCCAACCCAGGTTCGATTCCCAGCATCCCATATGGTTCCCTGAGCACAACCAGGAGTAACTCCTGAGTGCAGGGCTAGGAGTAACCCCTGTGCATCACCAAGTGTGAACCAAAAAAAAGCAAGAAAAATTTTAAACCAGTCTATTATGTATAGCGATGGGGTGGGTAAGGATAAAAAAAAAAAGTTGTAGTAAGCCTGTAGTAAGAGAGCTGAAAGATATGTATTCTCATTCATATTAGCAATACAATTACTAAAAATACAGGAATGTTTTAAGGTATGTGCATGATTGATATAAAGTCGTTATACTACAGTGGGAGATTTTAGAGAAAATTTAAATGTAAACAGGTTATTAATTCTGACTGGGAACCACGCTGCTTTTCTAAGCCTCCTCTCTCACAGTTACTTTTAGATATACTAAAAGCCCAATAAAATATGTATCTTACAATAAATTTTCTCTACATGTAGAAAACTAAGCAGAGCAAGAATGTGAAATAAATACTGTTCTGGGGACTCACTAACAATGCTCCAAGCCCACCTTGGTGCTCAGCAGAATATGTGGTGCCGGGATTGAACCCAGAGCTTCTGCATGTAAAGCTTGTACTCCAGTCTGTTGAGCTATTTCTTCTGTTCAAGAAACCAACTAGAATTTTGAAAAAAAGAATAAGAAGGAGACTAATTCTATCAAAGATTTAAGTTTAATTAATAGATATGAATATAAAGTGAGGATTAAGTAAATATGAAAGGTAGGAGACTTTGAAAACAAGCTCTTTTTGTATTAGTATTAATAAAATGAAATGTATCCATTTTTATTTCAAAACATACACAGTGGGTATAGATTTAGAAGAGTCGGAGAAAATCTTTATCCTCTAAGTTTTTTCGGGCTATACACTGTCATATCTACCACTATCGTCCCCATAACATTTAGTGTTTACCCAAAGCAATGTTGTGGTAACAGACACCTGGTAAGAATAATGGGCAAATACTACAGACTGAGAAAGAATGGGAAAGTGCTAGAGAAGATTAGAGAGACCGAATGCCTGTATCAAAGAGGTTCATGCATGTTTTCATGGAGAGATTTCATCAGTAATTTACAGAAGCATGATGACTCCTCCTCCCCCAGGTCTCATTTTCTTCTTTAAACTGTAACTTTCCTGAAGACCTGTGTTCTTTGTACTAGTGAACTGTATGTCATACTTTAGTTGTTATACTTTTCTGTCCCAGAAATTGACCCTCCATCAGGTAAAATTATTGAACACCAAACCTTCTTTAGCCAGATTCAAAGTATATAAATTTACATATATAAAAGATATTTATTACTTGGTTAGGAGGGAGGGTTGTGTACAGGGAGCTGAATGAGAGAGATCTCAGTATCTGTCTTCTTGTGTCCACATTTTTTCTAATCTTGAGTCAGTGCATTTTTATAGGCTATTACTATATTTTGCCATAGAGTAACATTTGCATCATTATCCATATTGGATGTTTGTTAATTTTAAAAATGTCAAGCTTGGGCTGGAGAAATTATTTCAACAGGCTGAACACATATACAGACCTGGATTCCATCCCTGATACAACATATGGAACCCCCAAGCAATACCAGTAACTACTTCCTAGTACAGTGCCAGGTAAGAATAATAGACAAAAACCTGGCAAGAATAATGGACAGGTCTAACCCTTGAATACCACTGACTGTGGCCACAAATAAAAACCAAAAGGTCAAGCCTAAGAGCCTGGGCTGGATCCCCAGTACTCGCTTCTCCCACACACACAATATCAAGCCTATGTTAAAAAGACAGAATGAACTTCCTTATGTTTATCAAGATTATTCATTAATTATTAAGCACAGTGAGTCTTGGAACTGAAAAGATAGTACAAGAGGCAAAGTGCTTGCCTTGCATGCTTATGTGGTTCTGTCCCCCGCACCACATATGGTCTCCT